GCACCAAACACGTGCTGGAGGTGCAATAGAGCGGAGGGAACCACAAGCCACATCTGGTGGCAATGCCCAATAATAAGTAAATTCTGGGCCCAGATAACGAACGTCATTCACACTATCATGGGACACAAACTACCCCAAGGCCCTAAAGTCTTGTTGTTTTTATTGTACCCCAGCCCCCTACCCAAACACTCACGCACACTGATCAACCACCTTTTAACGGCAGCAAACGCCATCATCCCAACCAAATGGAAGCAAACCGCACCCCCAACGATCAGAGCCTGGATAGAAAGGGTAGACGCTATCAGAGAAATGGAGGAACTAGCGTACTCCTTCTCACTCAAATACCACGACTACATGGCCACTTGGTCACCTTGGTTAACATTCATACGTAGAGGAGACCTCACATCTCAGACCAGATCCCCCCCACCTCACGAGCAGAGTTATAGGAGCACAAACTACTCATACAAAGCACAAACACCCCAAAGCGTGATGACAATAGGACATAGACTATGCTACTGTTAAGGGAGGGGAACACACCCTTACAAAGGCTATAGACCCACACACCCAAACAAACAAATGTATAACAACGCAACAATCCACACTGCCGAGGTTCTACGCTACGATTGTACATACCAGCTATACCAGGAAAATTTACCACCCACCCTAATGTTATGTTATGTTTTGTTTTCCCCTTGTTTGTTAACATCACACCACCCATGCAAAGTGAATAACGGCTAAAATCGAACCGCACTCGAGTATTCAGTTCAATGGTAACGCACACAAACGAATGCTAAAAATGTAACGAGCTCGAACAGTTACTACAACTGTTCTAGGCTCTCACGCATGGTAACAATGTATAACATACAAAAGTTCATTGAAACCAGACTGTCTATTGTAAAACAAGTGTTGTAATCTTGCATTATTACCCAATAAAAATTTGAAAAAAAAAAAAGAAATACACAAACTGGAAATACGCACTGACACGTCCCTTAAAGTCTTGAAGACTGGAGACTACAGTACAGCCCCCCCCCCCCTCCACTATGAAATGTGAACCTTTAAACCCCTGTAAAGGAAAGTACCAGCACTATTATCCTGTACAAGGAGATACTGAGATCTTTATTAAAGTAAGACTATACTGCCAAATACAAAATAAATAAAAATCACTATTTAGTAGATATAGCCAAAATGAAAACTTGCATGCAGTGAATTTTGCATTTTTTTCTTCCCATTGGAGTTATATCTAAAAATAGCATGCAAATTTGCAGATCTCTTGTCTGCTGCCTTTGCAAACCCTCCCCTTTTAACCCCGCCCAGACTTTCTGTGGATGTCCAATCACAAACTTCTCAATGAGAAGTCTTTGCAAGGCAGGCGCTCTGGGCAATTGCTGCCTCTTGAGTGCAGTGCAAATAAGCTAAATAAACCAGGAAGTTACAGGACCTATTGTCTTCTTAAAAAGCCAGCGGGGTGTAACCAGTATAATTTATAAAAGTGTTAATTTCTATTGAAATTAAAAAATAGAACACACTCTTCACACGTAAAGCTTTTCAGCAAGTTGCAGTGCTTTTGTGGTCTGGAGTGCCCCTTTAAGTATAGAAATTCAATAGAAGGGTACAAACCAAATTCCCAATATAGGAGAGTACTGGAATATTTATTCTCATTGTTTGGTATAAAATAGTAGGACCCTATAGTCTCAGAACACAGTACCAGAACAGTTTGCTGAGTAAAGCATACCCCTCCACATTGACATCCTTGGGAAGCAGGACTTTGATGGGAAGGGGGTAAAGGTGGCAGACCAGTGACATGATTATGTCAAATCGCTTTGCCCAAAGAGATGGAACCACCTAAAAAATGGGCAGGACCACCCAAATTACTGGCAGGTCAGCATGGCATTAATGCACATTAAGCTTCTAGAGCCCATAATGCTGCACAAGCATATCTAATGATATGATCACTGTACACTTTTTGGGGACCGTTTCTTGGTGTCCCCAAAAGTTGGACACCAGGAAGCAAAGTTGGGATAGGACCCACAAAATGGGACTGTCCTCCTGATTAAATCAGGATAGTTGGGAGGTATGGTATAAAATAATACAATTTGAGTGTTAAAACCAGTATTACATGGGGAAGGGGTACAGCATGTTTATATGGATGTTGTTCAACTGTTACTCTTTAAATTTGGAAGGGCATTAAAATCTTTATTTTCCTACAAAAATACATTTTTCTCTGTGTGGCTGACTGCAGGAGGACATTACCTGCCTGACTGCATTGTGCCTTGCTGGAGGAGGGATAATGGTAAGGGGTTGTTTTTCAGGCTTTGAGCTAGGCTCCTTAAAATCTTAATGCTTCAGCATATCAAGACATGTTGGACAATGCTATATTTCCAACTTTTGGGGAAGGCTCTTTTCTATTCCAGCATGACTGTACCCCAGTGCACTATGCAAGGACCATATAGACCTGGTTAGATGAGTTTGGTGTGAAAGAACTTGACTGGCTCGCACAGAGCCCTGACCCCAATCCCACTGAACACCTTTGGTGTGAACTGGAATGGAGATTGCGAGTCAGGCCTTCTCGTCCAAGTACCTTGAAGTAAAAAATGCTCTACTGCAAATGTTGTAGGACTACAACTTCTATGATGCTTTGCAAGTCTTAAGAATGCCTTTAGAATGACAATGCGCCATGCAAGCTGTAGTTTTAAAACATCTGGGGATCTACCTTTTGGGCACGCCTGCTCTACTGGATAAATGGGCAAAATGTCCCAGAAAAACACTCCAAAATCTTGTGGAAAGCCTTCCCAAAAGAGTGAAAGCTCTTGTAGCTGCAAAGGGGTTACCAACTACATATTAATGTCTTTGTATTTAGAATTCAATGTCCTAAAACTCCCTGTTGTATAATGGTCAGGTGTCCCAATATTTTTGTCCATAGAGTATATGTATGCTTGGTGACACAGTAGATGACCCTTGGCACACATGACCACAGGTCCATTTTAGGGCAGTGTGTGTCCTCCATTTTATAGAGATTGTTGCTGTGCTCCATTGCTACATGCAGTAGCCAAACTGTGAGACATTACTTCCCATCACACGTCTTCATTACCTTCTCTCCAAGACTCCGCTGTTAACACGGGAATGGATTGTGAGACTCCTGTGGTGATTTTTGTCATGACTTTGAGCAAAGAAACAAATAATTTATTATCCTTTGCTTCTCAGGGCAGAGCCTTTTGCTGTCTGTTCCCTGTAATCCATTAGAGCAGCATGGTTTTTGAAAATTGCACAGGGAGTACGAAATAACACATTATTCTTTTTAACTATTTGTGATGCATTAGCAGTAACAGGTTTATCTACTAAACGGAAGACTGTGGAGAACAGAGAAAAGAAATCCAAATTTTAGATCATTTCGAAAAATGCTCCAAATCTGCATTTTTTTCCTGTTCTGTTAATTTGTCCAAAAAAATGTATTTGACTTTTCAGACATTTTATCAAAAACTGAATTACTTCCTGTAAAGAACCCTGGTATCTCCTATACCCATTCGTCAGGTTCCTCTACTTGGGAAGCTGTTATTTCGTATGGAGAATCGCTTACTTTATTTCCCCGAACGGCAAGTTATAATCACTCATGCTCTAGCTGTTCGGGGAAATAAAGTAAGCGATTCTCCATACGAAATAACAGCTTCCCAAGTAGATTCTCCTAGTAAAGCAGACAGGTACCCATACATCAGCTGAAACTAGATGAAGGGTGTAACAGAACTGAAGTTTAATGATGCCACACTGGCTTTTATGCAAGTCCCCATGCAAGGGGACCTCTCACAGGAACATAAATCATACAGCCAATCATAATACAGGGAAACACTGGAATACTGCCAGTACAAACTTACAATCCCTTCCTCTCTACCTGGAGATAATTGAGGCTGATAAAGTAATAACTTAATTATTCCAAATCACACACAGAAGAGAAAATAGCACAGTCAGTAAAAAAGGGGGACAAAACATTTTTTAGATACATAAATGAGAAAAGAAAAGTAAAACAAGGATTAGTTAGATTAAAAACAAAAGAAGGAAGGTATGTAGAAGAGGATAAAGGTCTAGCTGACTGCCTCAATGAATATTTTTGTTCTGTATTTACAGATGAAAATGAAGGAAAGGGACCTCAATTAAGAAAAAGGATAAATGAGTAATTTATTACACGTGAGTTTACAGAGGAAGAGGTTCTATTTCAACTATCAAAAGTAAAGACAAATAAGTCAATGGGACCTGATGGAATACACCCAAAGCTATTAAAAGAGCTTAGTGGTGTACTAGCAAAACCATTAACAGATTTATTTAACCAATCATTGTTAACAGGAGTAGTCCCAGAAGATTGGAAATTAGACACATGGAGTTCACGATCAGAGACAACATGGGTTTACTTCACGGAGATCATGCCAAACTAAACTTATTGTTTTGTTTTTTTTTGATTGGGTAACTAAAATTATAGATCAGGGTGGTGCAGTAGACATTCCTTACCTAGATTTCAGTAAGGCTTTTGACACTGTTGCACATAGAAGGCTTATCAATAAACTGCAATCTTTAATTTTGGATTCCAATATTGTTGAATGGGTAAGGAAGTGGCTGAGTGACAGGCAAAAGAGGGTTGTAGTTAATGGAATATATTCGAAGCTTGGACTTGTCACCAGTGGGGTACCTCAGGGATCTGTACTTGGATCCATTCTCTTTAATATTTTTATTAGTGATATTGCAGAAGGTCTTGATAGTAAGGTATGTCTTTTTGCTGATTATACTAAGATCTGTAACAGGGTTGATGTTCCAGGAGGGATAAGCCAAATGGCAAATGATTTAGGTAAACTAGAAAAATGGTCAGAATTGTGGCAACTGACATTTAATGTGGATAAGTGCAAGATAATGCATCTTGGACGTAAAAACCCAAGGGCAGAGTACAGAATATTTGATAGAGTCCTAACCTCAACATATGAGGAAAGGGATTTAGGGGTGATTATTTCTGATGACTTAAAGGTAGGCAGACAATGTAATAGAGCAGCAGGAAATGCTAGCAGAATGCTTGGTTGTATAGGGAGAGGTATTAGCAGTAGAAAGAGGGAAGTGCTCATGCCATTGTACAGAACACTGGTGAGACCTCACTTGGAGTATTGTACACAGTACTGGAGACCGTATCTTCAGAAGGATATTGATACCTTAGAGAGGATTCAGAGAAGGGCTACTAAACTGGGTTCATGGATTGCGGGATAAAACTTACCAGGAAAGGTTAAAGGATCTTAACATGTATTGCTTGGAGGAAAGACGAGATAGGGGGGATATGATAGAAACATTTAAATACATAAAGGGAATCAACACAGTAAAGGAGGAGACTATATTTAAAAGAAGAAAAACTACCACAACAAGAGGACATAGTCTTAAATTAGAGGGACAAAGGTTTAAAAATAATATCAGGAAGTATTACTTTACTGAGAGGGTAGTGGATGCATGAAATAGCCTTCCAGCTGAAGTGGTAGAGGTTAACACAGTAAAGGAGTTTAAGCATGCGTGGGATAGGCATAAGGCTATCCTAACTATAAGATAAGGCCAGGGACTAATGAAAGTATTTAGAAAATTGGGCAGACTAGATGGGCCGAATGATTCTTATCTGCCGTAACATTCTATGTTTCTATCTCCAGGCAGAAAAATTTAAATTTCCCCAAAGTTTGAAATGCACCCTAAAACATATAATATCCCCACAAAAGTCATATCTCCTGATAGCCCTGATCTGGGTGACCAACATATCCAAAAATCACCCAGATCAGTTCAGGGGTTTTCGAATTCCATGGAAGTCTTAGGTGACCGACCACATACGAGGCTCCTGCCCAAAACAGTTCCACAAGTTTTGGTGGTTTGGCCGATCTAATTCGTAAAAGTCAAGAAAAATGAATAAATGCACGAATGGCTCCCCCGGCTCATAGTAGCGATTGTTCCCCTTATTCGTGGGAACAAAACTACCGAACAGCACTCTCCCCGTGTTCATGGAGTCGAGTGTCCGATTTTAGTTCCAAACACTCAACGACCAAGTCCTGCTGCCTCCTTTCGTGCAAACAAGATTGCCACCATTTTCTCTACCACGTGGCGTTCGGCTATACGAATGACGGCCACACAGAGAGCACTTAAATTACTGTTCTCTTTGAAGTTAATGAGCCAAGGGGGTGGTCAGTGTTCGGTAGTTACAGCTACCAAATGGAAGTACATAACATAAATAACTTGGTGATTTCTTCACACTTCCAAACTGCCCTGTAATTGGTGGGTTCAAAGGAATATCCAGAGATTTATGCTTACCTGCTTCTTGTGGTAGCTGAATTGAAAAGCTCTAACGTTCACCTATTTTATCCTAAAAGTTTTTTCTCCCTTTTCACAGAAAAAAACTATTTGTATATAAAATAAATGCTAATTAAATGAAGAAAATTGCATGTTTCTATTGATGTCAATACAATCAAAAGCAATTCAAGTAACAGAGCCTGAAATTGTAGGAGGGGTTACCCGGCCTTTAACTACACAGGCCAACCCTCTCACTGGGCCAATATCCAGGCTACAGGTAAGAAGGGGGGGGGATATAATGTCGTTTTTATTTTGTTTTGTTTTTTATTAAAAAATAAATACATCAATATTGGCCTCACCCCAACACACAATCCTTACAAACACACACACCACACACAGTACCCTAACAGACAGCACCCTAACACACACACACACAGTACCCTAACAGACAGCACCCTAACACCCTCACACAGCACCCTAACACACACACACACAGTACCCTAACAGACAGCACCCTAACAGACAGCACCCTAACACACACACAGTACCCTAACACACACACACAGTACCCTAACAGACAGCACCCTAACACACTGTCAGGGTGGCGGTCCGGTGCTCGGGACCCAGACACTGTCCGGGCAGCGGTGTGAGGACCGGGACCCAGTATGCCTGATGTTCAGAGTGTGGAGGTGGATTAGCAGGGTCTGGTACAGGGTAACCACATGCCCCCTGGTGTTGAGCACCAGCGTTTGTGCAGCCACATACCAGAACCCTGATTCAGCTTACTACGAGCAGGAATTAAGCAGACCTCCCAGGAGCTGAATAGAGTAGCTCTGCAGCAAGAATGTATCCAGTACAGAAACAAGGCAAGACTAGGAAAGGCACCAAACATGAAAACAAGACAGAACTAGGAGAACCCAGAAACGGAGAAGGATAGGAAGCTAAACCCAGAACATGTACACAAGACATGAGGGAAACATGAACATAATATGGGCATGACTGGACAGGACTGTACATGGACTGGGTTTACAAACTAAAACAAGACAAGATATGATAGGCAAAACAAGAGGAGAAATAACTAAGCACTATATATGAAAATCATGGGGATTTAGTCACATGATATGATCATACATTGCATAAGCCAGCCAACAACGCCAATGTACCCCATATCTGCCAGGTCCTACACTGCCTAATGTATGCTAAAACAACCAAAGATGACATATGTAACGGACCGTTTCTCTCAAACGGGGATAAATCCGTTTAGGCGATAATCCCCTTTCCCATAGACCAGCAGCTATTGCAATCACCAACCTCCCGAATTCCAAACTGTACGAATCCCCAACTCAAGAACAAGAAATACACGAACTCTGGAAGCAGCCGAACAGGAAAAGCAATACGAACAGCTTACACTCCTGGCAGTCAGCACACAATCCCATTCCCCCAATAACGAGACGACACTTCGTTTTGAGGGTTAAGCAGAATCTCCGGATTTATTCACACAGCCTCCTTTTAAGACATTCTCCCATGCAAGGGAGGGATCCACAACAATTAGTACCCCAGCCAATAATGTACCCGTTACCTCCCACACATCTCCTCCCCTTAGTGTGACACATAATCCCATTAGTACAGACACAAATTCCCTGGGATACTGGATGTACCCCTAAACATAGGAATACCCCTTTAAATGTTACATCCCCTGGTAACCCTGATCTGGGTGAGACACATATCCAAAAATCACCCAGATCGGACCAGGGGTTCAGGAATTAGAAAGGGTTAAAGTTTTGACCGACTGCATGGCAAAAGTATCCGAAAATAGTTCCATGTATTTTGGCCCTGCAGTCGGTCACAGAAAAGGGAATCAAACACACGAATGGCCTGTGTTACAGAGCTTGGGGAGGATTCGTATGAATCCCCCTGTTCGTGGGATCCTTTCTACCGAACGGCGGGCCGTTCGGTAGTTTCTGCACGAATTGCTGGAAGTCTGGAGGTCTCAGCGGTGTTTGCTTAGTCAAGTGTCCGATTTTAGTTCCAGACACTCGACGGCAAAACACCGCTGTTCGGGAGTTTAAGATGGCCGCCGCCACGTGTTCGTTTCCCGAATGGCGGCCACCCAGAGGACACAACACACATTACACATATTGCCAATTACCCGTTTGCAACATTGTTGCAAACGGTAATTGGAGGCACACTTACTCCTGGGTGGTCTGGTTGTTCGGTAGTTTCACCCAATATAATGAATGAAGTGATTCTACCGAACAATCAGGGGAATGCTGCATTCACATCACACTTTATACTGAACACATAATATTAAATACAGCCTGAATGCAATTTGCTACATAGTCTTAAAAAGGCATTATTCCTAACAGGCAGAATATGTTCACGGATGGCCCTTAAAGGGCCAGTAGCAGCAATATAAGAATGTCACATGCCCAAATATTACATACAAAAGTACGAATTCACAAGGGGGCCATAGTCAGATGGCAGGAGGCTGGCAACCAGGCTTCTCCAGTGCATAGTGGCGAGGTTGGTTTCGCCACAACATATATAGCACTTACCTGCAAGAAAGGGCAGAAGCCTTGAGCAGCTGCCTGCAGGAACACTGAAACAAAAGGAATGATGTAAAACATACACACACACTATACTCCTCACAAATGCACACTACACCCCTCACACATACACACTACACCCTTCACACACACACTGCACACCTCACACATACACACAGCAGCCCCCAAACATGCTGCACCACTCACACAGACACACACACACAATACTTCCAAACATATATGTATATAAACTACAGATATACACACACTGGATCTCTATGTACACTCTGAATCCTCTATACACACACACTCACTAGATCTCCTATACACACTCTGAGTCCTTCAAACACACACTAGATATCCTACACACAGATGCTGCACCACCTACCCACACACACTACATTTCTGACATACACACTCTGGATCCCCTACGCACACACTAGATTCCATGTAAGCAAACACATAGTGTCTCCATAAATGGGATACAGTGAGTATCCCAATTATGGAAACCCCTGAGACAAGTTTCAAGCAAGCAATGCAAGAATGTTATTAAATGTGCTTGCACTGTGCAGAACAAATACAGGGCCCTTTTCTCATGCTCTGGAAGAGCATTGAACCAACATGCTCACTTTGAGATGGGGCGTGCTTGACATTGCGGATGACAAAACACACCCTATCTGGCCCCGCCCCCTTTTCAGTGGGCCGCTGTGAATAAAAAATGCCCAGGCCGAATTTTTTTCCCCAGTCCAGCCCTGCTGGAACATCACATCCGACTTCTACCACATCCGACTTCTACCACTCAATACTATTACTCAGCTTATTGTCCCTAATCACAAATAAATATATATACACTGCCTTTGAAAAGACAGTAAAGAAGGGAGAAGAGAGCTTCTGATGGGTGCAGTATTTTATTCTTTGCATAGAAGTGTGCAGGAATGCTCTGAACACCATCAACGGCAATATCTTTGCCACCGTGAAATCTGTAACAGGATATGGAATACAAATACATTGTTTTACAGAGTTTCACCAAAAGGATCATAAAAGTCATACAGTGGAGTTCAGTAGGGGCATAATTTACTAATACTAAGTAATCTTTACTTAGTATTAGTAAATTTGGCTGAAAGACCAATTCAGCTCTTTCAGCCTTTTAGTAGATAGCTCCCTAATATCGTGGGAATCTACTTATTCATTCCTGTCATTACATTGACTGGCTAAGTAACTTACATTTTATATGAATGTGTGCTACTTGATTGTTGTAAGTGTTGCAAATGCTTACAGCAGAATCCTGGCTACATTTGTATACTTTTTTATTTAAAATTGTATACAGTATAACATTCTTCATTCTTCCACTGGGTAAGTATATTAGTACTTAGGCAATACTGTGCTTCGGAACTTCAGCAACTTTGGAACTTCGGCACTTTGGAAATTCAGTAATTTCTGAACTTTGGGACCTCAGCAATTCTGCTATTCGGACA